ACGGGACAGACCCAGCAGGTGCCATGGGTTGACTGAGATGACCGGTAGATGCACCATCAGCGGTGCCCCCTACTGTGCCAGGCTAGGTGCAGTTCACGGGACAGACCCAGCAGGTGCCATGGGTTGACTGAGATGACCGGTAGATGCACCATCAGCTGTGCCCCCTACTGTGCCAGGTTACGTGCATGTCACGGGACAGACCCAGCAGGTGCCATGGGTTGACTGAGATGACCGGTAGATGCACCACCAGCTGTGCCCCCTACTGTGGTAGAAGCGCCACAAAGCAGCACGGTAGAAACACCAAAATAAAACATTTTATTGGCAAAGACACCCACATCGGCTAACGCCACGCCCAATTTACTTCCATATATTGGGGGTAAATCTGTGATGAGTGATTTGGTCGGGCGTACGATTTCATTGTATTACAGCGCCCCTCCACGCCAGATCTTCCACTCTGCACCTCCTCCCCTTCGCAATCATCCTGCTCATTGCCCACCTCGGTGTCAAGCCACGGCAGCTGCTGCTCTGCATCGACATCAGCCCCCCCCCCCCCCCGTGTTACCAACGCGGTGGTGTCCACAACACGGAGGTTTGGACCGGCGAGTGGTGGTGGTGCTCGGCTTTGGGAGGGGGTGGAACTCGCCCCCCATTGTTCTTCTTGGTTCTTTCGGTAAAGTCACGTAGAAGGGAAGTAATATTATTATTTTATTACTTCCCTTCTACGTGACTTTACCGAAAGAACCAAGAAGATGAATCCCTGCAGTCACGAAAGCTTTAAATCAAAATTCGCCCCCCATTGTTTGAAACCGTCGTCCTCTGTGTTGCAACCCTCAATCACGACACCTCCTGTGCTTGCTATGACGAGTGCTGCCCTGACGAGGTTTGCTCTTGCTGTGATTGTAGCCGCTGTTGCAGATGATATTCCTTAACATGTTTTACTTGGATTTTAATGATAATTTTGCGTAAAGTGTTACGATTCGTATTATGCAAATGCTCAATTTGATCATATGTACTGTGAGTAACATAATACTTGAGGAATATTACTAAAGTCTCAACAGCTTTGTTAGTAAATTATGAATTGCGTTGCAATCGCGCCCCACAGCAAGATGAACCTGGGTTCGATTCCAGACTCGGGTACCTTTCTGTGTGGAGTGTGTGTGGAGTGTGTGTGTGGAGTTTGTGTGTGTGTGGAGTGTGTGTGTGTGTGGAGTGTGTGTGTGTGGAGTGTGTGTGTGGAGTTTGTGTGTGTGTGTGGAGTGTGTGTGTGGAGTGTGTGTGTGGAGTTTGTGTGTGTGTGGAGTGTGTGTGTGTGGAGTGTGTGTGTGGAGTTTGTGTGTGTGTGTGGAGTGTGTGTGTGGAGTGTGTGTGTGGAGTTTGTGTGTGTGTGGAGTTTGTGTGTGTGTGGAGTGTGTGTTTGTGGAGTGTGTGGTGTGGCGTTTGTGTGTTGTTGTGGAGTGTGTGTGTGGAGTGTGTGTGTGGAGTTTGTGTGTGTGTGGAGTGGTGTGTGTGGAGTGTGTGTGTGGAGTTTGTGTGTGTGTGTGGAGTGTGTGTGTGGAGTTTGTGTGTGTGTGGAGTGTGTGTGTGGAGTTTGTGTGTGTGTGTGGAGTGTGTGTGTGGAGTTTGGTGTGTGTGGAGTGTGTGTGTGTGGAGTGTGTGTGTGGAGTTTGTGTGGTGGTGTGTGTGGTAGTGTGGTGTGGAGTGTGTGTGTGGAGTGTGTGTGTGGAGTGTGGTGTGGAGTGTGTGAGTGGAGTGTGTGTGGAGTGTGTGAGTGGTATGATGTGTGTGGAGTGTGTGTATGTGGAGTGTGTGTGGAGTGTGTGTGTTGAGTTGTGTGTGAGGTGTGTGTGGAGTTTGTGTGTGGAGTGTGTGTGTGGAGTGTGTGTGTGGAGTGTGTGTGTGGAGTGTGTGTGGAGTGTGTGAGTGGAGTGTGTGTGGAGTTTGTGTGTGGAGTGTGTGAGTGGAGTGTGTGTATGTGGAGTGTGTGTGGAGTGTGTGTGTGGAGTGTGTGTGTGGAGTGTGTGTGTGGAGTGTGTGTGTGGAGTGTGTGTATGTGGAGGGTGTGTATGTGGAGTGTGTGTATGTGGAGTGTGTGTATGTGGAGTGTGTGTGGAGTGTGTGTGTGGAGTGTGTGTGTGGAGTGTGTGTGTGGAGTGTGTGTATGTGGAGGGTGTGTATGTGGAGTGTGTGTATGTGGAGTGTGTGTATGTGGAGTGTGTGTATGTGGAGGTGTGTATGTGGAGTGTGTGTATGTGGAGTGTGTGTATGTGGAGTGTGTGTATGTGGAGTGTGTGTATGTGGAGTGTGTGTATGTGGAGTGTGTGTATGTGGAGTGTGTGTATGTGGAGTGTGTGTATGTGGAGTGTGTGTATGTGGAGTGTGTGTATGTGGAGTGTGTGTATGTGGAGTGTGTGTATGTGGAGTGTGTGTATGTGGAGTGTGTGTATGTGGAGTGTGTGTATGGAGTGTGTGTATGTGGAGTGTGTGTGCTCCTTCTACTCTGCAGTGTGTGAACCCGGCGACCCGAGTTCGATATCCGCTCATGGCCAGTATTAGTGACGATTATCCGAATCGGTGATGGGCCTCTCCTAGGTCGACTCAGCCTCAAACAAGAACCTGGTGCGATGTGTAAACATCGCCATTGGGGAGACAAAGGCGGTCGGGCGAAGTGCTGGCCACCCACCCCTTCGTGTGCCTTGCCGGCTTTCATAGGTGCTCGCTAACAGCACTTGCCCCAAAAGTTTGTTCAGGCTACACGGGGGATCTTTGTATTTGCGTGCGTGTGAGTTTGGAGTTGCGTGTGTGAGTGTGGAGTTGTGTGTGTGTGAGTGTGGAGTTGTGTGTGTGTGAGTGTGGAGTTGCGTGTGTGTGAGTGTGGAGTTGTGTGTGTGTGAGAGTGGAGTTGTGTGTGTGAGTGTGGAGTTGTGTGTGTGTGAGAGTGGAGTTGTGTGTGTGTGAGTGTGGAGTTGTGTGTGTGAGTGTGGAGTTGCGTGTGTGAGTGTGGAGTTGCGTGTTCTCCCCCTGTTCCGCATGGAGTTTCCTCCGGGTTCTTCGGGTTCTTCCCGTGGCTCAGCACGCGCACACGCAGCGTGTGGCTGGGATTGTTCCAAGCCACATGCCGCGTGCCGAACGAGTACCGGCAAATGACTGACACCCAGGTTCACACGAACCCAGAAACACCGCCCACGAATGCGAAAACTTGTCAGTACCCGCCTGAAAAAAAAAGTGCCGAGACTCAGTAAAACAACGAAACACTTCTACGTAGTGCACAATCATTATTGGCGTCGTTGTGGAGATATAGTTGACACAAATAAAGATAACAATAAGAGTTGTAACGCGCCGCTGCACGGCATTCTCTGAATCTCGAAGACAGCGACGCAGAGGCGCGAGGAGGAACCACAAACAGGCGGAAAGGCAGCAGCCAGGCGATTGCCCAAGCTCTGCCATCTTCTTGATATGAAGATGTTTTCAGCTAATTGACGAGCGTTTATACACGTGGGAGGAAACTGGAGTTAATATTGTTGGAGGAAACCGACGCTTGCGAGAGGGCAACGCTCTTCAGGTGGAGATGAGTTTGCCTTAGCGCCGTCTCCTGGCGAGCCATAGTATGGCTCCTCCTGAACGCCGACGGCATTGAGAGCTTCACAGCACGCGAGGTACACTCCACCACCACCACGCAGTGCTGCCTGACAGAGACACCCGTGGTGCACACCACCACCACCACGCCCTGCTGCCTGACAGAGACACGCGAGGTGCACTCCACCACCACCACGCACTGCTGCTGCCTGACAGAGACACGCGAGGTGCACTCCACCACCACCACCACCACGCTCTGCTGCCTGACAGAGACACGCGAGGTGCACTCCACCACCACCACCACCACGCACTGCTGCCTGACAGAGACACGCGAGGTGCACTCCACCACCACCACCACCACGCTCTGCTGCTGCCTGACAGAGACACGCGAGGTGCACTCCACCACCACCACCACCACGCTCTGCTGCCTGACAGAGACACGCGAGGTGCACTCCACCACCACCACCACTACGCTCTGCTGCCTGACAGAGACACGAGTGGTACACACCACCACCACGCACTGCTGCTGCCTGACAGAGACACGCGAGGTGCACTCCACCACCACCACCACGCACTGCTGCCTGACAGAGACACGAGTGGTGCACTCCACCACCACCACCACCACGCACTGCTGCTGCCTGACAGAGACACGCGAGGTGCACGCCACCACCACCACCAGGCACTGCTGCCTGACAGAGACACGAGTGGTACACACCACCACCACGCACTGCTGCTGCCTGACAGAGACACGCGAGGTGCACACCACCACCACCACCACCACGCAGTGCTGCCTGACAGAGACACGAGTGGTGCACACCACCACCACCACCACCACGCGCTGCTGCTGCTGCTGGCTGACGCATGAGCAGACAAGTCGCCTCCTCCACAAATCCGTCGATCCACATCCACGTCAAACATCGAGGCACACTCCACACATCCCCTCAGCCACACGGCCTCCTGGGAGTGCAAATCTCATCAGCATTGCTTCAATACAAGCACAACTTTGGCCCGATTTTGACATTCGGTGTCTGATCAGCAGTCAGGCTTGCTTGAATAAATTCTGGAGAACGGACAGATTTTGTTTCGTGGCTTGTTACGCTTTAGAAAACTTTCAAATAAAGATGCTAAAAGGTGTAATGTCACGAAAATATGGATGTTACTTTTCACTGGAACATTTTATTCCACAAGCGATGCAATGTTAAGTAACATTGCCGTCATATATTGGGTTACATAATCTCCTGACAAACACTGACACGCCAAATGATTCCTTCAAAAGTCATCACCCGTGAGCACCTTTGAAAGCTTCGTCTTGCTGACATCACGATTTTTTTAAGTTTACACCCATTTTTTGTCACGCATATATATGAGATGGCCCACGGTGCTTGCAATATTCCATCAGACTGCTGCCGCTGCGCGTGTGTCGTTCTTGTTTGGCACATGCCTCGTGAGGTTTGATAAGGAGAATATTTTGACAACGATGCGTTACAGGTCGATCGAAAAGATATTTGCCTTCATTGTGCTGCTTTCGAGTGGCGTGTACATTTACAATGTCAGGGTGTTCAGCAGACGCTGCGATGCAGGAATTCTCAGGTACGTGGGAGTGGCGTGTACATTTACAATGTCAGGGTCTTAAACAAACGCTGCCATGCAGGAATACTCAGGTTCGTGAGATGTTCTCGGTTCCTGCCGTGGTTATATTCAAATGCTGTCATCCAAGAGATGCATTCATCGCTTGTTGATCGATCATTAATACTGACATTGTGAATTCTAGTCCTTACATTATAACCGTAGCCTTTGAAATACGTAACTCTTTTTCCCTGTATTTAAAAATCTAAATATGTTATTCTGATCTTAGCGAAATTTAAATAGCACCTTAATCAATGCGCTTTGCAGAGAAATAACAACGACACAACACATCACTGTAATAATCTTGATTTGAAGCTTTCGTTAATGCAGGAATCCAAACTATTTGGTTCTTTTGGTAAAGTCACGTGGGTAGAAAATAAATAAAATCACGACGTTTCGATCGCAACACAAGCGGCCGTCATCAGGTGGAACAGATACAGCAGCAGGAGAACTGCTGGTCAGCAGAACTGATTTATTTTATTTTATACCTACGTGACTTTACCGAAAGAACCAAAGAGTATGGTATAGCACTGTAATGGATGAGATGAGGGGGATAGAATAGATGAGAGAAAGCAATGGGGTCGAATCTGTGAAGCGTGAATTCGGTAAAAAATTAAATTGATGACAGTAAAGGATGACAAATGGATTGAATAACAGCTGTCGTGAAGACTGTAGAGTCACAGCTGATGCGTCATTGCTCTCATGTCCACGTGTACGTCGTGGTGATGGTTTGAGCACTGCACTGGCGCGGTTTCTACAATCACCGCTGTCGCAAACTGATCTGCAACACTTTCCAAACTCGTGAGCGTGCACACAAAGTATTGACATGAATGTTTTACATGCGGTACTGTATATGGACACCAGGTGCATTTGCACTGTTTGAGCGTGTTTTTGTGTGCAGTTTGTGTAATTTTTGTCTAATCCCAAATCAGTCACAAGTCGACTGAAGCCACTGGGAGGAGGCACCGCTTTGGTCGCTCGCTGTCTAAATGAACTCGCAAGCCAGAAACTCGCTTTCTTTCTGCCTTCACCGACGAATCGTCTCAAGGAATGTAGAGCTTCAACCGGCGACAATTTTTGATAACGAAGTTGCTGACATTGCTGCGGGGCTGAACTCCGAAACATCCGTAGAATCAATATGTGTGATGTGGTCAAATAAAAGGAGTAATAATAATGAACAACCGCTGGAGGAAGTGAGTGGAAGTTGTCTAGTAATTGACTCTTGCCGTACGATCGCGTCTGCATGACGGCAGAGGACTCGACTCCCTCCAGTGCCACTGGTTTCTGCTCAGGCTCCGGGACAAAACTGGTTTCTGCTCAGGCTCCGGGACAAAAGTGGTTTCTGCCATCGCAAAGCTAAAAGGTGTCCGTGACGTAGCTATGAAAGTCCATATCCTTTATTTAGGAACGTATTCTGCCCGTCATAATTTGAACATATACATTTTCTATCCACTGCTGGATAGATATTCACTTAATTCTAGATTTGAAGCTTTCGTGACTGCAAGGATTCATACTCTTAGGTTTTTTCGGTAAAGTCACGTAGGTAAAAAATTCACTTGATGATGTGGTAGAAGCAATGTTCTACGAGGAGTGGAATTTACACCCTCGAGCTTGCAGGGCTGCGTGCATTGCTCCACGTCCACTGCGCTTCCTCTCAAGCTGTCGTTTGTCATACATTTATTTATTTTTATCCCACAAAGGTAAGCCATTTGGGTGTGTGTCTTTGCTAAACTTTGCATTCAGGGGCCCATGGTTAGCCAAAGGAACGCTCATATTCTTTGGTTCTTTCGGTAAAGTCACGTAGTTAGAAATAAAATAAAATAAAACAAATCACGACGTTTCCATCGCAACACAAGGGGTCGTCATCAGGAAAAGGAGTCAGCCTCTAAAGGCAAATTGTTTATCAAGGTTTGGGGATGGGCGTAGCCCAAGTGTATCAACAACACCAGAAGCACGGGCGGTGCACGAGTGACAATGCAGCAACATGCCAATGAAGCAGCAATGGCAAACGCTGGGGATGCGGGGAGAAATTAACTCGGAAAAATAGACTAGTACCCGGCATATATGATGGAACAACCATAAACAGTTAAGGTTTTACCTGGTTAATAACATCCTTCCAATGATTGCTCAATTTGATCCATCTTCTCGATTGAAGTGATGTCTATGTTTATATATCTGGATGGCTTCATGAACAAACCTTTGGTAGTAGCCCGAAGGTTTGCAGAGTACCTTGGTCTCGGTAAAAAACAATATCATGCGAGCCCACAGCCTTATAACAATGGTCAGCTACGGCAGAGGTATTAGTTCTGCCGTGTTTCACATCTGCCTTGTGTTTGCGAACACGGTCTGAGACATGTCGTTTCATTTCCCAATGTAATTTCCACCGCAGGTACAACTCAGTTTGTAGACTCCCAGGATATTGCATGTCAGGAATGACATCTTTCACAGATGGGATTAGACCACGGATTTTGTGTACTGTATTGAATCGGACCTGGATCTTGTGTTTTTTTAAGATTTTGGAAATCTTTTTGGTAACACCTGCTATGTATGGTAACGTGATGGTTTTGATTGGCTTCTCAGGGGGTTGTTTCTCCATGGTTGGAGAAACAGCTTAGCGAATAATGCGGTCCGAGTACCCATTCATTTTGAGGGCCTGGTGTACGTGTTCCAGTTCACTGGCTAGGTGGTGTTGATCGCAAATGCAGTAGGCCCTATGGTGTAGTGTTTTGATGAGGGAATTCTCTTGTGCTGGATGGTGGTGGGAATCAGGTTTCAGATAGGAATCTGTGTGGGTGGCTTTCCTATAGACAGAGTGTCCCAACGAGCCGTCAGGTCTCTTCTCAAACAAAACATCCAGGAATGGTAGCTTACCATCCTTCTCCACTTCCATGGTGAATTCACCATCCTGCTCCACTTCCATGGTGAATTCACCATCCTTCTCCACTTCCATGGTGGGCCCAGATGTTGTGAGCATGAGATCCCAACTCCTCGTTGAGGCTGGACGCAAGTAGATCCTGAAACAAAGTTGGCCAAATGTCCCAATATAGGATCACAGAGCTTGGGAAATTGTTGGCACCGGTTCTGGGTGCCTTTCAGCTTTGTCTGCGGCTTCCCCCTGTGACTCTGTGAGAAGAAAACTGTCCACGTTACAAACCCGTCAGCGTTTTTGAGATGCAAGTCACGCGAACGACGCAACAAACATAAAAAAAACACAGCTAACCACTAGGAGGGGTAATCTGAGATCATGGCACCAGACCGTGTACCCTAATTGTTACTTTGAAGGCTTTATTTTATATGAAACGTCTGTCAATGTCATCGTCAGACAGGTTCGTTTCAGCCTGGAAGTTGTGGGGTTGCGCAACGCTCCGTCGAGTCGAGACGCATCTGGCCGCTGGAGGCACAGACAACCCCGTGTCTCTTCTCATTGTCGCCTTGCAGGTGCAATTTCGCGCTGTGGCTGAAGGAGAAGACTCTCTTCTACGAACGGATCCAGCGAAGCCACGCGGACGCGATGTCGCTCGACGCCACCGTGGCGACGGCGGCGGCGACGACGGCGGCAGCGACGACGAGGGCGGCGGGGACGGCGAGGGCTGGCGGCTCCCTGCCCTGGGATCCCGACCTCAGGGAGGACGAGATGCTGGCGGCGAAGGAGTGGCTGCTGGCGAAGAAAAAGTACAACATCAGCTTGGACAAGGATGATGATTACTTTCGCGAGAGCAACACGCTGGCGGACGTGAGTCTGGAAGGCTTCGCCTTGACGCGTGGCTTGGCGTGGACGTGGCCGGGGTTGGGGGGGCCCTCGGGTCACCCCCCCCCCCCCGTGTCCTGGAGAACGCACGCTGGGTGGGGTCGTGATTATCTTCGATCGTGAATGTCAGGCACAACTTAAACGTCGGGCAATATAAAAGTTACCACGCGTGATTGCGGTTCATGGGTTTTCCGTCCGTGCCTAGACGAGACACGTGTAGTAGGTTAAATTCAGGCGCATACTGGACTTTGCAGACAACACTATTTATTAGCTAACACAACAGGTAACACTTAGCATAACGACTTAATGTGGTAGCCACCGTGCCTAACTTAGCTAACCCACGGGGGTACTACATCACTGCTGGATGAAGGCCTCCCCCACATGCTGTCGCCATCACTGTCCGCTCCTGCTCGATCACAGTGCATTCTCACTTTTGCACAAGGACTGATGGAATTTACTAAAAAATAAACCACTAATCCATTTTTTATTTTATTTTACCAGGTAAGGCCCACTGAGCTCCAGCTATTTTTCAAAAGCGACCTACTGGCAATCACAAATGATAACTCAACGAAGTGGCTTATCGTGTGGAAATGTATAACAGTAGCAAAATATAGGGTGCTTCACATTGTGTTAAAGACTTATATGGGACTATCGTTTTTAATGGAACAAGAACGGATAATACACCGTAACATGATGTATGTCAAAAGCTTCAAAAAGTCAAAGAGTCTCCACTTTTTCGCCATCATTGTCAACGCGTACCTGGAATCTTCTCCAGGTGGTTTCCAGAGCCCGGAGGCTCGTGTCTTGTGGTCTTGTTGCCAATTCTCGGAAGTGTTCACATTGTTAGTTGAAGGCCTCTGTACTGTCTAAACAGCCAAGTACATCGCTGTCGACGGTGGACTTCCTGACAGGGAAATTAGCTCCTTTTCCATCCTCAGATTTGTAGCCTGGTAACAAAACATCGCGAATAGCAATTATGATAGATGGTTGCACAGCTGTAAACTACACTCAAACAAGTAGCCAAAGTAATGAGTTGTGTTGGTGCTGACATCTACTGCTTGCTGTGTCGTGGTTATTGCGCTGCACTGCATACCCGGCAAGCCGAGTTTGAATCATGCTCACGGTCAACACCAGTGACAATTATATGAACCGGTCCTGGGCCTCTGCTAGGTCAACCCAGCCTCAAATGAATACCCGGTGCAGTGTGTAAAACATCGCCACGAGAGAGATGAAAGCGGCCGGGCGTGGGGCTTACCTCATCGTGTGCCCTGCCGGCCTCCATATGTGTCTATTATAGCACTTGCCCCAACGGCTTGTGAAGGCTTCACGGGGAACCTTTGTCGTTGTACATACACACACACGAATAGCCACACGTTCTTTTGAGCTGGTGGTCTGGATAAGGCCGAGAGCTCTTATATACGAACATGTGTAGAATACTTAGAAGTTGAGCAAACATTCCCCTGAAGCATCTATAAAGTGTGCATTCTTCTCCTGCGCGTTTGTCAGTGATTTCTGCTGAGTTAGTCGACAAGCGGCACACAAGTACGGGTGTCCCTCGAGCTGAATTACACCCAGGCTAATCGTCAGCACTTATGTCCATATATCACTGATGTTCACCTTTCCATGACACAACAACATGTGAGCTACACGCAAGGAAGGTTTCTGTGAAGGTTAAGAAGAGCCGCACATTATTAATAGTGAACGTGATTTACAACGCGCGCACGTGTTGCCTATTGGACGCGATGTACCATCGACAACTCGGAGCCAGCTATCAATGTCGCTCGTACGCCGCCCTGCACAGGCGAGAGCCGCAGCCCTTGCGAGCCTTGAGCTGCTTCTTGAAGGTGGACAGCGCTCGGATGCTGCACACGGCGCGGTTCAGAGTGATACCGATGTGGTGTTGATGCACCGTAACACGTGCAGGTTATGCACGAATTATTTGACTTTCATTGATCTCGCTCAACGTGTTAAGTATTGACACATTCTACACTTGCCACATGGGGAATTGTGGCCTCGGTAGACTTTAAATTCAACGTCACCTTGATCCTGTGCTCAGCTAAACTAATGGTCGAGTAAAAACATCTTTCTACATTTTATTATTTTCATTTAATAAAATGTGAAACTTTTAATGCACCCAAGTTCAGCAGTCTTTGAAGACGAAGTGTGAGATTGTGATTGAGGGGGGTCCGGGCTCTTATCGTTTATGGGGCCTATATTTGTGTAAATTCCATCCCTGGACGGGTTTAGCTACCTCCTGTGCACGACGATGGCACGGTTATTCACCGCTCGGTTACTTCACTTCTCGTTTTTGAACGCAATCTACAGGAGTGTAACCGGGAGCAACACACACACAGCGATGCTGTGGATTTAATTGCCACATTATCTCTAGGATTGGCCACAGAGCTTCAGAAAAACTCAACGCATATGTCAATAACACCGTGTGGCCTTAAAATAAATAACGTATATAATAGGTGACATTTCAGGTAATGGCCCACTCCTCGTCATAGCATAAACTCTTATAGGCCAGAGAGACAGAACGGATAATAAGAGTTGGAGACGACACAAAACACCAAGGGACCTGATGAGAATTATATTTAAAAAACAATTCAGATGACCAGTTTTTAAATTGTCACGTGAAGAGTTAAACTTATAGTAGATTTGGGTAACAGACAAACCTTTTCATAATCAAAAAGTATTACAAGTAAATAAACGTATATCTAAAGTAAAATAAAAAAATGTTTCCGGCACTTTGGCGCAATCTGCACAACAGTGAATTGCTGTGCTACACTTGCATCTTTACCATTGTAAAGCACGATATCAATATTGTATGTATATTTTGGAGGCCACTTGGTAAGGCCCCTAAGCCCCTGCGTTAATATGGCCCCGTGCTAGGCTTCAATGCAACAGAGGATTTCAGCTTTTGAAGCCAGAGAGAGAGAGAAAACAATGCTTCGGATTATCCCGTCCTCAAGAGTCACGGGGACTTTGCTATTTGTGCTCTGTGTTCTGACTCGGCGTCACCTCACAGCGTTGTGTCCAATCCTCCTCCCTTGTGCTCAGAACTGCTCCGCGAGTCTGCGCAGGGTGGTGGGCAGGAAGCCACTCCTGCAAGGTATGTTTGACTTCAACATACCGGTCCTGCTGCGCAAGGGACACTTCAGCCCAGAGGAGTTTGATCGCCTTTCAAAGTACCGCACTCCGTACGGCTGGAAGGGAATGAACAGGACTGGTACGTTAGTTGTTCGTTCGTTCATTCTATTCAATTAATTTATGTTCTTTCATGATGATAGTGAAAATATTTTACAGCCCTTTGTACATCTGGCAGGGTAAATTGATCCTTCCAGGTGGCAGGGCGGCGGCGACGCAGTGGTAACACTTGTGCCTCTCACAGCAAGAAGGGCCTGGTGTCAATTCCCCACTCGGGTGCTTTTCCATGTGGAGTTTGAATGTTCTCCCCCTTGTTCCGCACGGGTTTCCTCTGGGTTCTCCAGCCATGTAATAATACAGGTAGGAACAACAGTTCCACACTGCCCACCAGGGAGTATTTGTCTGTCGTGCATAGCCCCTCCCAAACATGTACACTCCCGGATTGGTTGAAGTGCGTCACGTGACCGCGAGCTTTCTGTCGTGCACGAATGCGCTGTCCAACCAAGTTCCTACCTGCCCACTCCGAAGGAACGTGTTTCGCTTCGCACCTGCCCGTGTGCTGGTATAATCACTCAATTTTCGAGGAAGACATCCTCGGATGAATTCTGTTCCGTGGCTGCCACTCCATTATTATTCTCGGGAATCTGTCAATATTCTTCGTAGCCGTGTTGCGTCCTGCCCACTCACATTTCTTAACAATATCAATGATGCCATTAACCTGCGTGCGCTCTGTAATCCATGTAACTCTGTCTCTCAACTTCATTCCAAGCCTGCATCTCTCCGTGCTTCTGTGTGCACTTTCTAATTTTTGTTCCATTTCGTTTTGATAACGACCACGATTCTGAACCAGATGTCATAACTACACTTCTGCACGTGACAATACATGGTAATTATGAGCTTGGTAGGTGTGTCATTGAAGCGAGCTAATCTTGTATAAAAGTGACGGCTTCTGGTTTTAGTATTTTTTCTTTTGCTTTCGGGTTAAATGTGCAGATGTTGAAGACGCCGTGGACGTGCTGAGCCACCCGGAGTGCCGGGAGATGTTTCCCCACCGTCTGCCTGATGGCGGCGGCGGAGGACGCGACGCCGAGAAGTGCGTCCGCTGCGCCGTTGTCGGGAACGGAGGGATCCTCAATGGGTCCATGATGGGAGAGGAAATCGATTCCCACGACTACGTGTTCAGGCAAGGCCCCCTGCAGATCCATTGAATTGCCCGAGGTTTAACCTCGAATCGCCGTGTTTTCAGTTCTACATCGAACACATTTCGAGCCCATTTTTGTCGTCAGAGAGCGGTGGCACGAGTGTGGTTAGCGCACTGCATTAAGACTATGGACCCAGTCACATGAGTTCGATTCCTGGCCACGGCGAACATCGCTTCGTGGCGAGTGATATCTGAACCGGTCCAGGGCATACCGCGCCGCCCCCCCTCTCGCCTTCCCGCACTGACCAGCGTGGCGAAGTATCGTCCGGGTGGCTCAGTGGCAGAGCGAGCGGCTCGCAATGAGGGCTCGCAATGGGGGCTCGCAATGGGGGCTCGCTATGGGGGAGGTTGCGAGTTCAAAATGCTGATTGAGGTTGACTCAGACCATCATCCCTCCGGGGTGGATCAGATCTGTACCACTTTGTGGGAAAGTCAACAGAGGTTGTCTTGTCAAGTTACCCCCCCCCCACGCCACCCATTATGTGAATGTCAACTTGCACGACTGGCCTAGCATGGCTGTAAGCAGGAGATGAGCACCAATGCCTCAATGCTTATTTGGGGCGGGAGTCAAACTCTGACTCTTGTCTCTGTCACAAGAAATGGTTTTCAGCAATATTTCAGTGGCTTGCAAGATGAGGTTCGGTTGCTCTCCACGCTGCACCTGTCTCGTACTTTCCTGGAATTCAGATTCATTGGATCGCTTGGGCAGGCGTCCTTCAACGTCAAGGCTGCGAATAATGGAGGGGAGGGGGGGGCGTAAATGCCAAGTCCGGAGGTGAAATATTTGAAAACCTGTACAACTGATTTTCTACTGGCGTGTCAGCACATTGCTGACCGTGTTAGTGACACAAGTATGCAATCTGAAGTTCATGTACACATTCAAGGTGGTGAGCGGCACATCAGTGTTGTCGCCCACAGCGCTTTTAACGAAGTCACCAGAGTTCGAATAATGGTCGAGGCTAGCATCATGTGCAGGTGGTATCTGAACCAGGCCTGTGGTGTCGAGGAGTCAACGGAGTGAACTGAGAAGGGAGAGATCGGGAGGTGTGAATCCGCGGAGGATATTATAGAGACGGAGAGTGCGATCTTGAAGTTGATCCGGATTGGATTGGGTGCCGACGGATGGATTGGAGCAGCGGGTGGGGTGGTGGCGTTGTTCATGTGCGGAGGTGAGAAGTCTCGTAGCGGCGTTTTGGACAACGTGGAGTTTGAGGGATCCGTCGTGGCTGTAGAGGGGACAGCGTCGAAGTCGGGGAGCCGTGCCAAGCGGGCACCTACGAGGCTCGCAGCGGCAGCTGGGGTAAGGGAATGTTGGACACGGGGGACATTGCGCAGATGGAGGTCAGAGTTTCTGCAGAGCTGAAGTAAAAGTAAATAAATAACGTGCTCCTCTGCCTGTGCTCTAGCGGGCGGCGTTCACTAGAACATGGCAACATCATTCTATCACAGCCTCTAGAACACGATCCAGGTCTTCAGTGCGGCGCCAGAAACGACACGAACTTTGCATCGCAACTGCTCGCAATGGCGAAGAGCAACCTGATCCCTGTACGGAGTCTTCGGAGCGAGCCGTTCCCTCTCCCTCCCCAAGGAATTGAGGGGGGGGGGGGGTCAGGTGGTTCAGGTGTAATTTGTTGAACCAATTGAAGCACTCGTGAGAGCAGAGTCGCCTCGTGTGCATCTGGGTCACCGACATCACAAAAGCAATGACGTCAAATAAAGAACTGTACACCAGTGAAGCAAATATGAAGTGGGTCAAAAGCAACGAGATATAAAAAACGTGCACGAACCGTGAATCGATGTTAAATTAATTTCCTGTAACGAAATTTGCCTTGGACAAATTTTATGTAAAAAAAGTTTTGCTGGCTGGCTGGAGGAAGGTAGGGTGGGAGAGACAGCCACATCCAAATGACGTGCAGCCTGCTCGTTCTCATGAATACGGAATACTTTACAGCCTTTGGTAACTTGATATCGGATTTGTTGACCATACTTCACCATGCGAGTCGGTGTGCGCGAGGTTGGTGACGTGGGGCGTGTAGTACCAGTTCAGGTCACACTCACAGCTGACTCCCTTTGAGTTGCCCAACTCGCAACAGCCCGGCTCGTCACAAGTTGAGAGGAGCAGGGGAAGCTACCCGGGACGTCTTGTGAGGCTGCCTTGTGTCCTATCGGTGGAGTGCATTCCAACCAAGAAGAGTTGTTGTTTTAACGATACTTAAACTCGCCTAATGTAACTCAAGACATATATATATATATTAACATTTCTAAATAACAATATTGGTAGATAGAATACCTACACCCAAGTAGGTTACAAGATATAAGTAATGATTACACAAATGCCTGACATCATGTGACCTTTTGTGATCTTTTGGCCACCAGGGTAAACGGGGCGATCACGGCGGGCTTCGAGCGAGATGTTGGCAATCGGACATCCTTCTACTTTTTTTCAACCAATACCATGAAGAATTCCATGAGAGCATACAGAAAATTTGGGTTCATGCACCCTCCCTGGTCTAAGGTGAGATCCACCACAGCCACTCTGACCTTCTGGTGAGCTGGCTCAGCGAACACAATCAGGTGACAATTTCAGAATCCTAGTTTTTGGGTTGACTCGGCCCATAATTCCTCTGAGGTCGATAAAACTAATACTATTTTGTGAGGAAGTCAAGAATGTTGGTTCTATTGATATATTTTCCCCCGTCATAGGAATGTGGAATTTCCACCACTGGCTCCAGGCTGTGAACAGGAGATGAGCACCGCATCAATGCTTATTTGAGCAGTAAGAGACCACTTTCATCATCATCGCTAAACTGCAGATGACGGTGTTCATTAAAGCCCTGACCTTTTGTGATGTTTTCTAAAATGTGGTAAATGGTGCGGTAACAACCGGCTTTGACTGTGAAGTTAGCAACAGGAATGTTTACACTTCTAGTCATGAGCCTTATTCGTACGGACGACATGTCACTCACAATCATAAACATCACCACGTCACCCCAATACTCCAATCCCACCACTGGCTCCCAATCCAATCCAAAATAAAATAAAATAAATCACACTCAACGTCCCCTAGATCCTCCACTGACTCACCTCTGCAAACCTCTCATCTCATGTTCCTCTTGTCCGTACACTCTCCGTTCCAAACCAAGGCTTCTATTGAAGCCCCCAGTTAACCCTCACTTGCTGCAGGGAATACATTTGTTAACGTTGATTTATGTTCGTGCAATTTATTTTATTTTGAATGCGATGACAGCACCGTCGTTTTTGCACCAATTGATATTGACTTCATTGCTGTTCTTTATTGTATTTGTTTTGTTTTTGTCATGTTGGTGACCCAGGTGACTCTTGCAAATTAAAGTCTATCCTGGTCTCTTGAGTTCTCACCGGGTTGCACGAAATGAACTTGAGACTTGGTTCTGACCTTTTCAAAGGTCTTTACTACGTGCATGATCTAAAGGTTATTTCACTGTCAAAGATGACACCCAGGTATTTTGGATTGGGCTAAAGTTTACTTATTGGCCACAGAAAGTGACGTTTGTTTGGCTATTTAGAGATATGTATGTGTTTGTTGAGGTGGTGCGCTGCGACTGGCACCGTTGTTCTGTGGGAATGGGGGGTACCGTTTCCTTTAGGGGTGAAGAGACTCCCCCATCGCCTTGGAATCAGCGGTGAGAGGATGGTGCTGATGGTAGCGCCGTTCGCGGTTGTTCACACGGTGATCACGGACGAGCTCAGCGACCCATCACCCTTGAACTCAATCCTCTGTGCCTGGCACAAGAGCGGGTAGCGACCACCGATGAAAGCCAGATTCAACGTGAGCACTACGTTTGTCACCCGTGAGGGTGACGCGAAACGTCGGACGTTGTGTGGCACAACCGGAAGAGCGCAGCGGAGAGCTGCAACTCGCACCTGCGACAAACGAAGCTTTCCCTTCTACTTTGCGTTTCAGGAAACTCGATACGTATTCGTTCCTTGCGGCCACCAGGACTACTACATGGTGACCGCTGCCTCCCGACGTGCCGTGGTCAATAAAGGGCCGGATAAAAAGGACAAGTACGTGCTTGCGCGTTCGCAAATACTCGCATCAGTCCAGTGTTTGTCCATCATTTGATGGCGTTCTAAAAGTGTCAATTAAACAAGTTGTTTTTCAGACCCTGGAATTATTTTGGAAATGAAGATGTCGACAGGAAATTCAAAATGCTGCATCCGGATTTCTTGCGATACCTGAAAAATAAGTATGTTTTATTTATTTTGCGATTGCAGTCACAGTAAAACATAGCACATAGGATCATTGGCCGAAACGTCACAAATCTTATTTATATACATACCTATTTTATTCAGGCTGTTTTGTTTACGAATATTTGTTGTTGTTTATTGTCTGCGTACACCACTGGCAACTCGGCAGCAGCACCGCCAAATAATTTATTGAATCAAAACCGTTGTTTCTTAAGTATCTTTATTTAAGTTAGAAGAACTCCTCTTCTCCGTAGCAATGTGTGTGTGGGGGGGGGGGGGGGGGGGGTTAGTGGAACCTATTATCTGTGGGGCTATCCGTGAAACGGTTGTGGTGCACAGCGGGGTTGTGGATAACCGAACAATCTGACAATCACCCAAATCATCTGACGATCTGATGATCTGACGATCTGACGATCTGGGTGATTTGCTGCGTGGCTTCTCTCACACAAACACAACGCGGCGAGTTAATGGGCCCTGTTCTTCAGTGGCTGGGAGAATTCGCAGGTGATGGTGGATGATGGCATGGCAAGTGATGGTGGATGATGACAGGTGATGGTGGATGATGGCATGGCAAGTGATGGTGGATGATGACAGGTGATGGTGGATGATTGCAGGTGATTGTGGATGATTGCAGGTCATGGTGGATGATGGCAGGTGATGGTGGATGATGGCAGGTGATGGTGGATGATGGCATGGCAAGTGATGGTGGATGATTGCAGGTGATGGTGGATGATGGCAGGTGATGGTGGATGATTGCAGGTGATGGTGGATGATGGCAGGTGATGGTGGATGATGGCATGACAGGTGATGGTGGATGACGGCATGACAGGTGATGGTGGATGATGGCAGGTGATGGTGGATGATGGCAGGTGATGGTGGATGATGGCAGGTGATGGTGGATGATGGCAGGTGATGGTGGATGATGGCATGACAGGTGATGGTGGATGACGGCATGACAGGTGATGGTGGATGATGGCAGGTGATGGTGGATGATGGCAGGTGATGGTGGATGATGGCAGGTGATGGTGGATGATTGCAGGTGATGGTGGATGATTGCAGGTGATGGTGGATGATGGCAGGTGATGGTGGATGATGGCAGGTGATGGTGGATGATGGCAGGTGATGGTGGATGATGGCAGGTGATGGTGGATGATGGCAGGTGATGGTGGATGACGGCATGACAGGTGATGGTGGATGACGGCATGACAGGTGATGGTGGATGATGGCAGGTGATGGTGGATGATGGCAGGTGATGGTGGATGATGGCAGGTGATGGTGGATGATGGCAGGTGATGGTGGATGATGGCAGGTGATGGTGGATGATTGCAGGTGATGGTGGATGATTGCAGGTGATGGTGGATGACGGCATGACAGGTGATGGTGGATGATGGCATGACAGGTGATGATGGATGACGGCCTGACAGGTGATGGTGGATGATGGCATGACAGGTGATGGTGGATGATTGCAGGTGATGGTGGATGACGGCATGACAGGTGATGGTGGATGACGGCATGACAGGTGATGGTGGATGATGGCATGACGAGAGCCCAAGGAGAACTGGGAGCCAGTCATGGACCCCGCTGCTGCTGCCCATAATAAGAATTGCGGATATCTGTAACAATACATTTTTTGACACAGTGTACCTTGTAAAAGGCAATTTTAAACACATTCATGTTAGTTTAATACGTAGGCTTTCGCGACCAATATCATCCATTATCATCCATTCATGTTATTAAATAATATGTACATTTTGCATATTGACTGAATGTATTATAACATTGGATTAAATATTGACTTAAAGCTTTCGTGACTGCAGGAATTGATACTCTTTGGGTCTCTCGGTAAAGTCCCGTACATTGTATTATTACAAAACCTAAAGTGCTTTTTGGAATCTTTTGAGCACAAACTCTGCCATGTCTGCATTTTTCCCCCTTTCAGTTTTTTGCCTTCGACACGTCTTCAAACGAAGTTTAAAGACCTCTATAGGCCAAGCACAGGCGCCATAGCCCTGCTCACAGCTCTGCACACCTGTGACCAGGTAATGTGCCTCTTGTCCCTGACACCTCGCATACAGACAAATGATCACTGACTGCAGGATTACATTTCCTCTGCGGGCTGCTCCGTTAATGAGCACCAAGCACTGAAAATATAATAGACTTGGATGTGGCCCAATTAGTCGATTGAGTTGGTTAATTAGCTAAAAGTTGGAAGCAATTTCTTATGTTTGTAAACAATTACTTGTGTCCCATTAAATACGGTGACAGCCCGAAATATTGCCAACCTGCTGCCAGGAAACTCCCTCCGAGCCGCGCTCGGAGTGACACGGCTCACCTGCCAGTGACGTCACTAAGCCCCGCCCACCACCTCCCATCCGGCGGCACACTTGGGAACAGAGGCCACACTTTTTTCCCAACTATTTTTGTATCCATGATGGGCCGAGTAATAAAGCCGATAATCGGAAATTGAGTGGTTAAACAATCAGCTCTAAAATATAATAATGCCACAACTACCCACGAAAACTTCGCTGAGGCTCAAGATTCTTTTCAGAAAGCCTCTGCTAAATGGAAATATTTTGACAATCCCGGAGACAAATCAAGCATACGAGGGGAAGACACTCAGCAATGCCATATCTTAGCTACCTCGCCCTCACACCGACAACGCCTGACATTCCTTGTGGGTTACCCGTCGTAAGGACTAGCCTTGCTTAGCTTCCGAGATCCGATGAAGTAGGGTGCATTTAATGTCGTGTGTTCCTAGTTAAAGGTAGATCACATTGTATTCTTATTGCAGATGCATCCTGTAAGGATTTGCTTATAGGATATGGAGATGGATAAAACAGAATATTAGTAACACATAAATAAGCAAACAAGTCGCCTCCTCCCCATACTTGTCTCTCCACATTAAACATAAAAAAATATGTTACACAACCAATCAGCCATGCAGCATTTCAAAAGTAGTTTTTCCAGTAGCATTGGTTTAATGCACAAACTCTGGATCAGCTTTTACATGCAGTGTCTCATCAGCAAGAGTCAGGCACGCTTGAAGCAATGCTGTTGAACAGCCAGGTATTTACAGGCAAGAGCCCTCTCTGTTAGATACGGGTCCTACTTCGACACGAGACTATGTAATAGACGATTGATTTGTGTTACATTAGTTTGGATGTCCCATTTCATTTCATTTTTCTCATCCCGATGGGCAGGTTTCCGCCTATGGGTTCATAACCAGCACCTACAAGCACTTCCCCGACCATTACTATGACCAAAAGCAGAAGCTCGTTTTCTATGCCAACCATGACCTCAACTTTGAGAGGATGCTTTGGAAGATGCTCCGGAAATCACAAGTCATGACCCTTTTTCAAGGAAAACCTCCAAAGAAATTATAGTAGATTTTTTTTAATTCTAGATTTGAAGCTTTCGTGACTGCAATGATTCATACTCTTTGTTTTTTTTCGGTAAAGTCACGTAGGTAAAAAAATAAATAAAATGTTTTTTGTTTTCATTTATTTTATTTTTACCTAGATTTTTTAAGACGTAGTTTTATGGTGTAATGGCTATATTGAATTCATATTTTTATTGTCGTAGTCCAATAAATATTGTGGCAAAACGATCACGATATTGGAGTGACCTTCCTGCTTTAATTTCGCTGGGCCTTCGTGCTCGGCCTGTGCGTGTTTGGTATGAAATGTACTTTGAGTTATTCGAAACACGACCTCATCAGCCCAGGTGATGAGGTTGTGTGTGGCGATTGTTGGTTACACAACACACCACTTTCATCAGATCGCGTGGTCGGTAAATACTCAGGTGACAGGGAAAGGGCGATCGTGTCATCCACATGGATGATACGGACTTCAGAGTAGATGATGCGACAAATGTCAATAGGATTATAGAATGATTGAGTTGTGATTATTTTACATGTACCATCAGCTTTGCCGAAGGTTGTTTTGCAATTGTGACTAATCGTGGTTGCCTCTTGAGGTCTCGCCTCGTTAAACAAAAACTCTTCGCAACAGGACTCTCTCACACACACAGCCAAACCACATAACCACAGGCACACGTCCCGTGCACAGACAGGCCTGCTGTTCAGGCACGTGTTGTGGCAAGCACATAATAAGAATTGAATGCCCAGTAGCCTCTGTGGAAATGCACGTTTGCACATTTTAAGATCTTACGATGGTGCAAAATAATACGACAGGTGAAACTTGAATTCGCTTGCGACGCAAATCGTTGCCCCGCGGGTTGCACGAGGCGCCGTCTCTGTCGCCAGCTCCCTGTTGTGCATTTCTCTGTCTCAAATAGAGATTCAGTTCGTTTCTACTCTTGAACTTATACATGTTTCACAGATATACAGTGCAGTTCTGTGTTCCAAAAAAATCCGAGTGTAATGCTTTCAGTTTGATTGACCAATTTGCTGACAAATTGTTGGCACATATTTAATATACATATTAAAACAATATTCGCATTAATCTAGATTCCTTAACACGATTGTGTTTGTTTTCGCTTCAGCAGTCACATTTTTATCAATAATTCATGACAACAGAGGAAGTAAAAACCTGCTTGAATGTTGTCATAGCAAATCTCTGACTACATATTTTTGACCTAGGAGAGAATAAAGCAGATTTTGATCCTAATTGCCTTCTGATGTTCTCCATGGCCAGCAATTAAAACTCATGTTCCTGGCTGGGCAGACCAGCAGTGTATCATTGCACCACTCAATGCACACACACACAGACACACACACAGACACACACTGATGCACACACAGACACACACTGATGCATACATACACATACTAGCGTACGGTGATTCATTGGTGGTCACATTTTTGTGGCAACTGTGTCCGGGTGGCAGGAATGTATTTGTACGGAGATCTGGTACCGCTGTTGCTGTGTGGAGCGTCATTACAGTATTTTGGAGAGTTTAGAAAGAGCGAGGCTGACCGAGTGATATGTCCGACAAGGAACGCTCGTGAAGAGTGACGCTCGAATTTAAATCAAAACGCGAAGTTCACGGTGCACGGCACAGGAACTGGATTCGCGAGATTACATTTTCCCTCATGGCCCGTGGGCCGATTTATTTAAATTTCAAGATGATGAGGTACGATCGTGGAAATGTATGAGTGTTTGTGTGATTGATGTGTACTTAATGTGTAATTGATGTGTACTTGCTGTGTAATTGATGTGTAGTTTGTGTGTACTTAATTTGTGCCGAGGCTTTTTTTTTGCACATCCTGCGATTGTTGGCAGCGTGTTGCTTATTCTTTGGTTCTTTCGGTAAAGCCACGTCGATAGAAAATGTATAATAAAAATTAAGTGAATAAAAAGAATAAACAATAATACCGTCGCCTGGTTATTAAGCTGGGTGAGTGTACTGGCAGTCTATAATGTAGACTGTAGCCTGCTTATTAAGCTGAATGAGTGTACTGGCAGTCTATAATGTAGACTGTAGCCTGGTTATTAAGCTGGGTGAGCGTACTGGCAATCTATAATGTAGACTGTCTCCTGGTTCTTAATCGGAGTGAGTGTACTGGCGGTCTATAATGTAGACTGTAGCCTGGTTATTAGACTGGGTGAGTGTACTGGCAGTCTATAATGTAGACTGTAGCCTGGTTATTAGGCTGGGTGAGTGTACTGGCAGTCTATATGTAGACTGTAGCCTGGTTATTAAGCTGGGTGAGTGTACTGGCAGTCTATAATGTAGACTGTAGACTGGTTATTAAGCTGGGTGAGTGTACTGGCAGTCTATAATGTAGACTGTAGCAATGGTTATTAAGCTGGGCGAGTGTACTGGCAGTCTATAATGTAGACTGTAGTAATGATTATTAAGCTGGGTGAGTGTACTGACAGTCTGAAATGTAGACTGTAGCCTGGTTATTAAGCTGGTGAGTGTACTGGCGGTCTATAATGTAGACTGTAGCCTGGTTATTAGACTGGGTGAGTGTACTGGCAGACTATAATGTAGACTGTAGCCTGGTTATTAGGCTGGGTGAGTGTACTGGCAGTCTATAATGTAGACTGTAGCCTGGTTATTAAGCTGGGTGAGTGTACTGGCAGTCTATAATGTAGACTGTAGACTGGTTATTAAGCTGGGTGAGTGTACTGGCAGTCTATAATGTAGACTGTAGCAATGGTTATTAAGCTGGGCGAGTGTACTGGCAGTCTATAATGTAGACTGTAGTATGATTATTAAGGCTGGGTGAGTGTACTGACAGTCTGAAATGTAGACTGTAGCCTACTTATTAAGCTGGGTGAGTGTACTGGCAATCTATATGTAGACTGTAGCCTGGTTCTTAAGCTGGGTGAGTGTACTGGCAGTCTACAATGTAGACTGTAGCCTGGTTACTAAGCTGGGTGAGTGTACTGGCAGTCTATAATGTAGACTGTAGACTGGTTATTAAGCTCGGTGAGTGTACTGGCAGTCTATAATGTAGACTGTAGCAATGGTTAACCTCGGCGAGTGTACTGGCAGTCTATAATGTAGACTGTAGCCTGAAAAATAAAAAAAATAAACAAACAAACAAAAAGCCACAGCGTTTTCGATCACAACACAAGCGGTCGTCGTCAGGAAAAGGGGGGTTAGCCTCTAAAGGCAAACTGCTTATAAAGTGTCCTCAGCAGCACCAGCAGCAGCAGCACCAGGGCAGGGGCAGCAATGCCAATGCAGGAGACAACACCGGCAGTGGGTCTACACCAATCAAAGGGCCGCCAGGCAATCCTGCAACCCCGCTCCACACCCCCACAACTGCTGACGGTGGAGGTTGAGTGACAAGAAAACACAAGCCAAGTCATGACCCAAAGTTGTTGATGACATCTTTGCTGAGTTGAGACCATCCTCTTTGTTGAAATTGTGTCTGTGTCTGTAGATATGGATGGCTTTCATGACGAATCTTTGTTGATAGCCAGTAGGCTTGCAAAGTACCGTGTGTGTTGCTTGTTATTGAGTGTTTATCCTCTGATGCGTCGGAACGCTCATTAACTGCTGTTCTAACTACGTTATACGGCACTTAAAGAAGATCCCGGAAATTCAATCAGATATCGATTGGACCAGGATTACATCTTTAAAATAATATTTTCAAGGTTTTGTCTGTATCCTAAATGTAACTATGGTATTAAATCAAAACGTGACATATTGCCTCTTTTTCAAGGTGGACCTGGATTACAACTGATATGAAATTCATCCATACTCATAAAAAATATATGTATTTAAACACGAGTGTGATACAGTCCTCATTCTCATCACTACCATTTCCAAAATATTCTTGGGGGATGTTCATCAAACTGGCGGGCAATGATAGGTTCTCACGGAGATCATACTAATACTCCCTACTCCTTGGTCTTCATGGGAAACACATCACACATGGGGGGGGGGGGGGTATCCACAACAGCAACAACAACAGCAACAACAACAGCAAACATTGTTGGCGTCTCACCAGCAGCTGTTTTTTATGCCACGAGACTGGTTCCACTGGCTTCGATGACGCTTTAAAAAATTAAAATACTGTACTGTATTTGAACGTATTGCTTTGGACTCGGGTTTTCCCAGATGCTCATCCCACGTGGTTCAGCAAACATACCGCAGGCATTCATCAGCATAGATATCTGAGGTCGCTGGTCAGTTCCCTGACCACGTGTGTTCTGGATCGGCTATTCTTACCTTAGATGTTTGTCTTCTAGGCCTTTCCAGTTTGTGATACCGATTGCTGATTGTGATATTAGATTCGTTACATCACGGTCACTCCTAATTCAGAGAATGGAAGGGTCGTGGTTGTCCATAGTTGAATGTGTGGCTTCAAAAGATGCACAAAATGGAATCGCTGATAACATCTGGGCACTTCTGACAGGATTTATAAAACCGTCAAGAAACTCCGTGTCGCGGGTATTTTTATTTGCTTACATCTAAGAAGCTTTCGAACCTGTTGAGGCATATATGTGATCTCCACGTGTTACTTCTGTCTGTGCTGTACTTTATTCTTGCTGTTGGTGCTGGAAAACCTGAAAGAAAAAGATCGTATATTTCTAAACAAATGGTCCAGAGAATGTTTAAAAGGGTGTGGATAAAAACAAGTGAATTGACAATAACATATCCTGTATTGTGAGAACATGCCCCAGGGTCTGGAAAGTTATTGCCAAAAAACTGCAACTTGGATCACTACCTGTAAGATCTTCACTCAAAACTGCTCTCGAGGAGTTGTACACCCCTAGCTGCCACTGCTATTCAGTGGCCTGAAATCAAAATGTATCACTCCGGATGGCCGCTGCAAAGTATGATCTTGTGTTTTGATTATAGTGTGCTGATCTTTAAAGGTGCATTGGAAATGTTTGATGCTCCTGCTGTTATCGAGTGACTCATGCTGCCAGCTATGGCTGCAAAGTTTGGTCGTATATGTAATGTAGATCGTTTATTGTTACATTTGAATCACAGAACCTATGATCACTGTTACATTGTTTTTATCGCTTCATTTTGGTGATTTCAAAAACTTTTTGGTTTAGCCATGTTTGTTTGTTGTAGTACTGAGTTAGCCTGATAACTTTAATCTAAATTGTCTTATGGTTGTTATTGTTTGACTTGCATCCTACCGGGATTTTTGCACACAGCGTTGATATACGGTGCTTCTTCGGAAGACTTTGCTGTTTTTTTCCTGGATTTTTCTGTTGCGCGTAGTCACTTTAAGATGTTTCTTGTTCATGTTTTTGTTTGTTGCGGTTGCACCCGATTCAAGAGCCGCATGGCTCACAGGGCTATACCTAATAAATGAAACTGAAAACTGAATCGCTGTGACACTGATTTACGGACAGACTGATTCGTGCGTTCGAACTAGGACCCATATCTAACAGGGGGCCCTTGCCTATGACATCCGGCAGTTCACCAGCATTGGTTGACCAAAGCCTGACGCTGCTGATGAGAGTGTTGCTTGCGATTAACCAATGCTGCTGAATGTGTGTAGTCCCAAGAAGGCCGTGTGTCTGTTGAAGTAAAAATAAACAGTCAGGTGCCCGATTCATGAGTTGAACCTCCACACTCCCTGCTATGAGGCTTGAGTGCTACCAGCATCGCAGTCTGCCAAAACCAGGGAACGACATTTCATCACCATAAAATATTTCGACCAATCTCCCTCCATAACATCACTTACAAACTCTACGAACGTTTTATCCTGCAACGAATGTCACGCCTGGTAGATCCCAAACTCATGCGATACCAAGCGGGCTTCAGATCCGGTCGATTTTGTGCAGGCCAACTACTAAACCTCACACAGCACATCGAAGATGGCCTCCAAAATACATTCATCACCGGCACAGCATTTGTTGATCTATCTGCTGTATTTTACACTGTTCAACATCGCATCTTGATCCACAAACTGTACCTCATGACTGGCGACCGAGATCTGAGCCAGGCCCCCGAGAGAACAGACGCTTCTACGTGGAACTAAACGGGCAGAGAAGTAGATGGCGTACCCAACAGAAAGGCTTTCCACAAAGGCAGCGTGCTCGCCCCACTTTTAGTCAATATCTACACCAACGATCAGCCACTTCCTACTCAATGTCAGCAGTTCCCATGAAGGCGATTTTTGTATCACCACACAGCAGAGGA